ATTACTCTGTGACATGTCCAAACAATGGGGTCTCGGTCTTGGAGATCACATTTGGCTCGTCGAGCCTGCAGGGCCTGTGAAAACACAACAGGCAGATAAGTGAACAGCGCTAATGTGGCAGAGGCCAAGCATAACACGGGGGGCGGGGGTCAGCGGAGGACGGCGGCCTGCTGAGATAATGCAGCACCGACAGCTCCTGTGTGCCTCGGGCTGTGGTAGGTCGTAATGGGAATCACATGAGGAGTGAACCACTAGCTGTCACGCCGAGGTACTGCACCCTGACCTCTCGATCGAAGCTGAGCATCTGCAGGAGCTGGACGGCCAGAAGAAGACTGGTCTGGTGGAACTGGTCGCTGATGTTGAGGAGTTTCTCCAGGTCTCTGCGACTCAGGGAGTTCAGCACCCGTCCGTCCACCAGGTGGGTCTGGAAGGTCTGGGAGTACTGGGGCAGCCCCACGTCACTCAGCCATGACGACGAGACCCAGTGATGGTCCATCTCTGAGGCTTTGGAGAGGCTGTGAAGTAAAAAGTACTAAAGTTAAACATGTATTACTACTACTACTAGTACTAAGTTAAACATGTATTTGTATATGTGTGTATATTTAAGTTTATTTTTAATCACACAAAAAGTAAAATGTTTTTACCCTGACACAAAATACAGTGAATGTCATAGTACACGAACATGCAGTACAAGTACTTTATTTATGTGATGTTACTACAGTAATTACTTCAGTAATTAAACTGGATCAAATTCATTTGAACGACTTGGAGTTTTAATTAAATCCGACATGACAGAGAGGAGGGGCCCCAGCACGGAGCCTTGGGGACCCCCTGTGACCAGGTGGTGTGATGCAGCTGCATGACCGACCAATGAGGTAAGACTGCGGCCTCGTCCTCTCTGCTTCTTACCCCTGATCACCTTCAGCCCTTCGGTAATCCTCGATGGCCAGTCTCAGTTTCCTGCGATGAATCTGGTTAGTGATTCCAAGTCCCAACTCCAGGTCGTCGTCCGTCAACCCCAGCAGCACCTGGAACCGTGAGAATCCACAGAGACCGCGTTTGGTCTGGTTCAGAACAGCCGTTTAAAGAGGAAGACCAAGTGGCTGATGGGAGCAGTACCTTCCCGCTCTTGACATTTTCCGAGCAGGCTCTCATGTACATGGGCATTCCCATGACGACTTCCATCCAGGCCTGGACGGCCCCGGCTCTCCACAGGGACATGCAGGTGGTCCGCGTCAGCTCGGCCTGCTGGAGGCGGTCCAGCTGCTCCTCTCCGTCAGACAGGCTCTGCTGTGTAAGGCTGTCAGAATCTGGATAGGTCAGAAGTTATGGTGTGGCGTAAAAGAAGGGGTTCAGAGGTCAGAGGTCGTTAGAATCAGTAGATGACCAATAGAAAACTATGTGATCGAGGTCAGAGAAACAACACACCTCAGCCATTTCAGAAACAGAAACGATCTTTGTCTAAATTTGACTCTTGTAGTTACGACAATTGGCCACTAGATGGAAGCAGAGTTCTTAAATGGAAGCGAAGTTAAGTCGTTGGGAAACTACTTTTCGACAAGTAAACTGTTGTTTACTGTTGCCCCGGTGTCGGTGAATGATTATGATGTGACTTTAGAGCAGGAGGTGCAGAGACACGGGGATTATTCATAAAACACCGAGCTCCTGTCCATCGACCACCCGGCTCCACAGTAGGAAACACCGGCAGTGTTTACCTGAGTCACTCCACATGCTGACAAAACGGGTCATGCAACGTCTTCATCAACACTGGGACCATTTGTCCGATGGACCTGAGCGACATGAATAATCCCCAGAAACAGACAGCTGGTAATCACAGATGAGGAGTTACTCACTGGAGGAGGAGGAGGAGGAGGAGGAGAGACACGTTAAGACTGCAGACAAGACCAAGGATTAGACACGGAACACAAATCAAAGTCACAGGAAGTCTTCAGTTACTAGTTTTATTTTTAAAATAACTTTTCATTTCAATTAGAATTCATTCCTAAAACCTCCTCTGCTGCGGCAGATAAATATTTGAAGTTTCCCTCTTTAATGTTTTATTTTAAATAAAATACTTCAATAGATTTATCTCTTGTTCCTAAATTACAAAGCATTTAACAGAGAAGATTTGGAGCCAAAGTTTTTTTAAACGAGGAGGAGGAATTAAAAAAACCAACAGAACAATCCAACCAAACGATGGGTCAGTGCATTCAGAATGCATGGAGAACTTGGTGTAAGGAGAGGAACACAGGACATTATCAATATTATTGATCAGCGATGAATGGACAGTGTATTAACAGAGAGGATCGTGCAGGTGTTCATCTGACGCAGATCAACATGTGACACGTCTCTCTGTAACATCACACATCGACAAGGTCATGAAGGTCACGATAACAGATGATATGTCGTCTTCCTAAACCTTTGGCACTGACACGGGAATTGGACCAGCGGACAGAGTCAGTTATAGATTATCATGTCTGATGAATGAGAATATGAAGGTGTTGGTTAATACTCTGACCAGGTTATAGACCCTGAATAAGAAACGGACGAGGCCTTCAGCTAGCTTCAGTTAGCTACAGCTAGCTTCAGTTAGCTACAGTTAGCTATAGTTAGCTATAGCTAGCTTCAGTTAGCCACTACACCCTCATCATCAACTCATACATTTCTATACCGTGTGATGTACTGACCATAATTCAACCAAATTCTGTTTTTTTTTAAAATAAATACAAACATTAAACATGACTGGTCTTTATAACGGAGGATGAAGCTGCGGCGCCTCCTGTTGACGCCTCGTCCATGTTCTAATCCAGGGTCTACACCAGTGAAACCAGTAGAATTAGTCGTAGTTTCTCGTACCACTTGTTTTGAAGCAGCAGAATTTGGCCAATCAAATCCACAGGTTCGTTTTGTGTCAATAAATTAAAAACCTCTGCTTTTATACCGTAGAAATATGGTCAATAGAACGGCCTATTCTGTTAGGGACGGGTGGGGGGTGGGGGTGTGGGGGGGTCGAAGCTTATGATGAAGAGGCTGTAAAGAAACATGAAAGTCAAAAACATGGAGAGTAAAAATACTACAGTAACTCCTGGTCTGTACTCAGTCCTTCAAGTCTCCAGTAAAAAACATCGACATTGGGAGATAATACAGAATAAACAAGTCTACACATTAGTAGAACAATAATAATAATCCCATAGATTGTATATATATTTATATGCATGTAAACATATGTACATATGCATACATGTGCATCTATAAATATATATCTAATATACAAACACATTTTTAGGGTGAGATTCTGTACATTTATGGAACAGCAGTCTCTGTTTGATCCTCTCTCACACACACACACACACACACACACACACACACACAGCATCACCAGTCGGCGTCTTCCTCTATGTAATAGTCAGGAGCAGCTGTACCATCAAACAGACCCGGGTCCAGAGACTTGCGCTGTTTGCCCCGAGTGAAAACCCGGGACAGGGATCCAAGAGTCATCTTCTCTTTCTTCTTCTTACGCTTCTGGTCCTCCAGGTCCTCCATGGACTGAGGGGGAGGGGGGGAGAGAGAGAGAGAGAGAGAGAGAGAGATCAGATCACAGCCAGAGCCGCAGCAGTGTGAAGATCTGTGTCCCAGGGTTTAAAACCAGCAACCTCTAAACTGAGCAACTCAACAAATCAAAAATTCAATTTTTTGACTGTAATAAATAATAAATAAATAAATAAAATTAATGACATAAACCATGAAAACGTTGTTGCCAGAGAATGAACCCTAACTTTTCTTTCCAGCTGCCTTTGAATTCATTAGATCAAAGTCTTGACGACTCTGCTGCCATCTTCTGTTTTGACCAAGTACTGACTGCTGCGGTCTCTAATCCATGAGGTTGGACTGAGAGAGAGGAGTCAAAGTGCTGAGTCATACTCTACTAAATCTGCCGAGTCATAGATTTGGTCACAGTTACAGAATTCCACCACCGAGGCCCAGCAACAGGACAGAGGAACCAGCACACACACAGCGGGGGGGGTGGGGGTGGGGTGGGGTCTTACATTGCAGAGGGAGTGGGTCCGATGACGAGGTGAGTTGATGTCACTGGGCGTGGACGAGCGGTCGCCGTCGGCCGCCGAGGCGGCGGGGCAGAAAGTCGGCTTTCTGAAGAGGCAAAAAATGACCCCAAACAGATCCTGACCACGGCTGATGATGTCACCGAGCGCACACACACACAGAGACACACACACACACACACAGACACACAGACGAGCCCACAGTTAGTGTGAAGAACCCTTGATGAAACCCAGTTAGTCGGCAGGTCTGAAACAGCTTCACCAACAGCAGGGGGAGACACAGAGCAGAGCAGCTGAGAGACCTACCCTGTCTGTCTGTGCTGTGTCCGTGGTACAGCGTCTGTTGGCTCTGACGGATGGCGGCGGTCAGCGGCAGGTCGGCCTGCATCACCCACTCCTGACTGCCGTTCACCACGGGCTCTGTGGTCATGGCCACCGAGTGGCGCTTTGGTGCGTCTTTGGTCAGGGTGGCCAGGGACTGCTTGGCCTTCGGACCAGGACACAGAGACAGAACGTGACGTCAACACCAACCACAACGTCGCTGACCAATGACCAACTCCTCGTTCATTAGAGCTGAAACTCCACAGTCAATGAATACACACAGTGTGTAGAGACACAGCTGAGCCTCTAGGGGGCAAACTCAGCATCACAGAAGGATTTAGCCGTTAACTTTGGTGCACAGAAAAAATCTAAAAAAATAGTATATATATATATATAGCATTGTCTTCTTAGCACCCCCTGCAGGGCAGTGGGAGGAACTTGTTGTTTTCTTATCACAGATTATCAAAATTCAGGCGAACTGTTGTTTTTATCAAACTGTGGGAGGAGTTTCAGACAATGACATCACCATGGTCAGCTCCGCCTCCAGTTCTTTGATCCGGTTCTCCTTGGTCTCCATGTGAGAGCGCAGGACGTTGGCCTGCTCCGTGGCCTCCTTGGTCTGTCTCCTCAGCTCCCACTTCTCCCTCTCCAGGAGGTCTTTGTCTTTGGCCAGTGTCTTCACTGCGTCCTCACTCTCCTGAAAACATCGACACAAATGATTTCTTACCGACTGATCTGCTGTTAACCCCGTGATGACTGCTTCATCCTCTCTGAGGACTGATCTGTTACTGATGTGTCACTGATGTGTTACTGATCTGTTACTGATGTGTTACTGATCTGTTACTGATGTGTTACTGATTTGACTCCTACCTTTCGGTGCTGGTCGTAGTTGCGTATGAATTCCCGTAGTTGCTGCTCCCTGCTGTCCAGAGTGGTGTACAGCTGCTGCATCTGACTCACCAGCTCCGACTTCTCCACCTTCAGACGTTTACGGTCAGCTTTCATAGCTGCAAGACACAAACACGGCCGAGAGAGTCAGAGTCAGAGTCAGAGTCAGCTGTAACACCCAGGTGAACCAGGCAGCCATTAGTCATTAAACAGTCAGTAAACAGACAGTAAACAGTCAGTAAACAGTCAGTAAACAGTCAGCCATCTTGGCTGTTGTCACAGGAAACGTCCATTTCTGGAACACTCTCTAGTCGTGTGCGTTTCCCTCCAGTGTTTCATATCGACTCGACTGAAGAGAAGAAGTCGATCAGTAAATCAGCGTCGATGACCAGGTGTCAGGTGATCCTATCTGCCCTCTGACCTTGTAAGGCCTCCTTGGCTCGGTCCAGTTCCTGCTCCTTGTCTCCCAGCTGGACTCGGAGCTCGGTGGCTGACAGCAGGTTGGCGGAGCAGCCCCCCTGGGTGTCCTCCAGGTCCTTGGTCAACATGTCCTTCATCTGCCGCAGCAGGTGCACCTCCTCCTGGAGCTGGGCCACCTCCTCACGAAGCAACACTGGGGGGGGGGGTAGAAGCAGGGTTAGAAAAATGAAGGAACGTCTGGAGGACAGATTCAGTTAGCTGAGAAAATAAGCAATAACCAATAATCAATAACCAATAATCAAACAGCTCCAAACTGAAGGTTTGACCAGAGGAACCTCAGACAATATCGTTCTCTAAACGTCCTCTCACCTGTCACTGATTCAAAAATGTCAGAAATGCCATGAAACATTTCCTGTGATGAACAACGACCACAAAGTTACTGACATTAAACCAAAGAAATCTCCACGACCTTTGACCTTTGACCACCAATATGTAAACAATCCACCAGGGGTCAACAGGGGGTCTGAGGGAAACCCACAGATATCTGCTCCTCAGGAATGGAACGGTCAGTCAACCTGGGACTCATGTAGGTGGTGCTGAGGAGGAGGGGG